GTGGGGGTGGTGGGGGGGGGGGGGGGGGGGGCGCTTTTGCTGCTGCAGAGCTGGGGCCAGGGCTGCACCAAGCTCTTCCAGGCAGAGGCTGGGCCAGGCTGCGCTCAGGGCGAGCAGTGGCACGAGGAGGGAAGATTGGGGTGGCTGCAGCTCCCCCTGTAACCCATTGCCTCTGCTGCCCACCCTGAGCACAGCCCAGCCTAGCCCAGCCCCCACTGAGAATAGCCTGGTGCCACCACCAGCCTGCAGTGGTAGCCCACCCCACCCCACGCAAATCTGGACACCCCCCCATGCCTCCTAGGGTGCGTAGTGGTGGGAGCCACTGCCGTACCCCACCCCCTAGGCCCCCAGACAAGCCGCAACTCCATCCCATGCCCCACCCCCACTCCCTCCATCACCGCAGGCACCTTGATTTGCCCCTGCCATGCAACGTCCCTTCCCTCTCTACTTCCACCACAACAGACTTACTAGCCAGACACTGCTCTTCAAGCTACCAGGCTGTGTATCGGAAATCGGATCGGTATCAGCTGATATGCCTCCTTAAAAAAATCAGCTATCGGTATCAGCCCCAAAAATTTCTATCAGTGCATCCTTACGCTAAAGATCCATTTCTATTTTGTTAGGTCAAATCTAGATTATAAAGTTATCAAAACCTGGCAGTGGCACCTCACACATACACATCTGACTGTTCTAAGCACGCTAGCTTACCCCTGCCAACCAGAAGCAGCGTAGCTGTGTTCCTGCAGTACCAGATGCTGGTAGTCACTGTCACTCAGTGTTAATCAGCCATCCATCTATGGAACTACAGCTTCTGATAACGTGTGTGCACATGTACACATGGTATCCATTCATGTAAGCTCCATTTATGTACATAGTTCTACAGAGTTGAACGAATCTCCCACACAGTTTATTCACAAAGCAGATATACGTCAGATACCTTTACAAGGTATTAAATATGACCTGTTTTAACCACTTACCAATTCCATAAAGCATCAGTTGAAACATTCCAGAATGAAGGTCTACAAAAACATGTAGACATTCAGAGCGGCCACATGGTTCCAATATTGGAATAACAAGAGTTGGAAGAGCCGTCTCAATAAATGCTAAATAGAAACCAAAGTTATTACACTGACGCACAAGGCTCAAACCTACTTCCTTAATTCACAGCCCACAACAAATAATCACCAAAACTAGGGGTACAAATCCTTATACGTGTAATCCCATCAGGTTCAAGTTCAGCAGGACTCCTTGGACATTGCCACATTTCTCATGTAAGAAGGGAGTCTCTGAATAAAAGCACTATGTCCAAATAAATAGTTAATGATAGAACAGGATCCAGAAAAAACAGACTACAGGTAAGAGAGAAACGAGTCATAAACCTCTAAATACCTAGTAACAAGGTAGATCAAGATTATAGATCCAAATCAAGTCCTATCAGTTTCAACACAAGTTGAACCAGATCAAGTGTCAATCAAAAACGTAGGTAAAAGTCAATGAACAGACTACCATTTTATTTTGAATCTAAATGTTACCTCTTAGATCCAAAAGCATAATATGCTACATATTTCAGATGCTGTACTACATGTAAAGAAGAATATTGTCTACTGGGAACCAGTTGAGTATTTTGCAAGTTTTCAGCAAGCAACAATGAATGCTTGTTTAAAAGCCATGCCTCTGCTATTTTTGAAAACATTTCTCCTCTATTCTATTGTTTCATGAAGAGCTGCTGGAATGACCAGGGAAAAGAAAAGCAATTGAGAAGTAAGAGTCGGGGAAGACCAGACTATCTGCATACACAGTTAAAGGAATACGATTAAAACAGAGAGTTCAGGAGAAAATACATACAATTGTCATTAACATTGTAGTTCTTAAGAATGGCTTTCAACTCCTGGAGTTTCTGATGCGATCTTGCATGGACACTATCTATTAAGAGTTTTTCTATTGATAGGTGGTCAATCTGTACAAATAAGAGTTTAAAATAAAAATGAAATGGACTACTAGAGGACCCTAGGGCACATTGGAAAAAGTCTTTCTTTTTTTTTTTCTTTTCTTTTTTTAAAGCAAAATAATTTTACATTGAGAATCTTCCAGTGAACCAAAGAATTTACTTTCACTTTCTCTGTGCCTTCAATTGACATGACAGAACAATATCATAATAACCAGCTCTGCCTACATAAGAGAAACCTGTTCCACTTCCAGTGTTAAGAAACAACTAGAACTCTGAGCTGGTTTACATGCAAGCATTTCACACATGACACCATTATCACGCTGCATCTATTTCTACCAAAAGAGTGTGTGTAAGCTTAATACAGGAGTCGGCAATTATTTGGGCCCAAGGGCCACATAAGAAGTTTTGGTGGGCAGAGTGGGTAAAAGGCAGCAGGGAGCTAGGAGCTCCACAAGCTCGGCAGGAGCTTCCCTCCCCTGCCTACCCAGAGCAGCATGGCAACAGCAGATGCAGCAGCTACAGCGGGAGGCAATGGAAGCAGAACTGCCTCTCTGGCCCAGACCCCGGCTAGCATGCACAGCTACCAGTGGGGCTGTTTCCAATGTAGCTGCAGCCGCCTGGGTGCTGCTCTGCTCCCCTCACCTCCAGGGGCAGCCCCTCCTGTGCCACTCCAGGCAGGTTGTGGGGAGAGGGGAAGGGGAAAGAAGCTTCAGTTGGGCGACTCCCACTGGGGAGGCGAGGGGAGCAGAGCAGCATTTAGCTGGCTGCAGCCGCACTGGGAACAGCTCTGCCAGAAGCTATGGAGGCTGGCCATGGCCTGGGCCAGAGGGTTCTGACAGAAGCGCAGCACTGGCTGTCCTGGTAAAAGTGGATAAGGCTTGGCCCCATGTAGAGCACCACAGGTACAGCCACAGGCTGGATCCAGTCAGTTAGCAGGCCGGATCCAGCCCACAGGCTGTATTTTGCCCACCGCTGGCTTAATACTGTTTCTGAAATGACATTTAGCTAAGCCAGAAAGGAACCCTCTCTATACTAAAAAAGAAATCACCACACAAGTAAATAAAGATGTAATTGTTATACAGGCATGCTAGCTTTTGTCTGGCTAGCACAAATAACAATAGCAATGAAGCTGTAGTGGCACAGACTTACGCACAGGTTAATCAACTGATATACAGGATCTTCAACATGCGTATAAACACTGTGCTACCATGTTTTCAATGCTACTGCTTAGCCATGCTAGCTAGATTATATCTACCCAAGCTACAATGACACCATCATTTGCCTGTACAGACATATATCCTTGTATAAAGAGGGCTATGAAATTAATAATTAGCAATACATTGTAATGTGGCATCTAAGGCTACACAGCCCAAACTTACAAAACATGAAGTTATACCTGACAGCCTATGTTTGCTTGTTGCCACATCACGTAATAGCTTCACATATACTTTTACAACTGATAGTCCTGATTATCCTGAAATTCTTGTGCAAGGAAATTAACGCTTACTCCAGCTAGAAAGCCTTACCTTCATGGCTCTTTCCATCAGTTTAGAATCACAGGCTGGAAGTGGGGGTTCATGAGATATTTGCAAGGGTTTTGAGACATCAGTCTCATCAATCTTAATAGTGACCTTGTGAACAGATGCAGTCCCTGTTTTTCTCCCAAGCACCTGTTGGCTTAAAATAAAAAAGGTAATTAAGTAACTACATTTTAAGAGCGCTTGAAGTTTTTCCTCACTAATGCACAGCTACTGTAGGAAGACTATACTTCATTGACTTATACTGACTGCTATGGCACTGCACAAAAAGCAAAACTAAACCAGAAGGACTATATCAAAAGTGACTAGAAAAGACACATTAATTGAAGTGAATATTTAAAACATATGATTAGCTTATAACACTCACTACTCACATGCAGTATCAAGGTTTCAAATTAATGCAAATAAGATTAAATGAATCAAAATAGTACCTTAATTACACTAGTAAGCATAATAATAAAACAGTATTGATTTTAGTTACTGCTTAAAGAAGGGAATGTTCTAACTGGCATGTTTAAGCATCAGAGTAAATGCAAGTCAATTTAATAAGTACTGAGTCCCTCACACACCACTCCCATTCCCTGCCCAAATCAATGCAAAAAGCAGGTTGCTTAGTACCTCTGGAATTCAGGCCACATAATTCAATGATTAATATGGGAGCTTAGGAGACTGCCTTTCAGAAATCCAAGTTTAGCACTGCAAATACACTGACATATACTCTAAATCTCACCTGTCCACCAGCAACTGTCAATCCTTGGAAATTACTTACTTCCAAACAGAGAGCGAAAGACATTTCCCGGCATGATACCGTTCCACTTGCACAAGGTCACCCCATCGCTCTCGGATTAACATTAGTGTTTGTGAATGTAAGACTTCTAACTGAAGTGCTAAGCAGAAAGAATCTACAGAACAAAGTTAAGAAAATAAAAAACTCCACACCTAGTCTCTGTACACTATACAGATTCATGCAAGGTATCTATACATCTTGGATCACATGCTGTACCTACTCATAGCTTTCCTCAGAACAAGTTCTTAAGGGTTGTGAGCAGCATTCACAAGTCTGAATAGTTGTTTATGTGCCCACTCATTTAAGACTGAGCACTGGGACAAGGGTACCATAGAAGTATTTAGAGATTTAAGTTTGACTGTGTTTTGGTGAAGAGACTTATCAGGTACAAACAACCGAACAGGAAAACTCATGCTCCATGGGTATGCAGAGATAAAAATCTTCTGATAATACTTTAGATATAATCACTTCTACCAATTAAAAAGTATTTGCTATTATACCAGTAACTGTCCCTTGTGTGAATTAAGTCAGTGCAATGAGCTCTTGCATGCTGTCTTCCACTTATTCACAAAATTGCAGCAAGTCAGCACAAAACTGCTACACTTTGGTAGTAAAAATTGTTAGCCATTATGTCTTGAAGGGGGGGCAGAACTAGCATCAGACTACCCATCTATCTCATATTTAATATAGTATACAATTTTGTTTATGGGAAGTAAAGTTACCCATCCTGTTTATCTCATTCCAGCTGACCTGTATATTTAAGTCAACAATACCGTATAAGCTAAATTAATATTAAACACTGCTTCAGGCAAGGCATCTTTCATAGTGATACAAAGATAACACTCTCTCAAGAGACCATTTCCAGTCCACTAATGGACTGTCTTCTTTAGTTTAATAGAATATCTGTTCTTTCCTGGAATGCGGCCACTAGAGAGTGACCCCTTTCCATATGAATTCTTCTGGAAAGCAGCCTTTAGAAGGATACGTAAACAGTTGTACATGTCCTGAAGTGGTTTATCATCAGCAAAGAGTCTGGACTGGACCAACTGATGGATGAAGTTGATTTGCATACTGTGAACCAAGGCTCGACCATCTTCCATAAATTAAAAATGGAAATTTTATCATATTAGAAAATCTAGACATCGAGTATATACAAAGAGGAACAAAAATCCGAACAAAAACTACCATATGGAGAAACCATGAAAAGAAATAAAATCTATGAAGTATTTGGTGACTTGGGTTTTTACTGGGGAGTAAACAGGATTCTCAGTTTATTTGAGGAAATACTATTCACAGGGTGGGGGAGGGGGATGCATGCTCAATTTCTGATTAGCGTTGCACAAAAATAGGCTGTGCAGCTATTTTTTTTATACTCCGTTACTAAAATGAATCATTTTGGAAAAAAGACCACCAGAGCAACATTATGCAAGACGGAAGACTTTATTTTACCTCCAGTTTCTTTGTCCTCGACCAGAATTTCCAATTTGAGAAGACGCCAGGGAATATCAGGGTCATCTCCCATCACTGTCAATGTGGCTTCAAACTCCCCTTCAACTCGAAACTTCACACGGCCATTAGCTGTGAAAAATTGTGAGTTTATGTTTGGTATGTTACATTAAGGCTTTTCTGAAGCAAGAGGTTTCCCAGTCTACAAATGAACTAGTCTTCCATAGCCCCTGATCTGTTGCACAGATTTAAAAAAATAAATCTTGTGAATTATTAAAATGTTCATGAGAGAGAAAGAGAGAGAACGCTAGCAAATACAGCTTGGGTGGATCCCACATAAGCTTCCTTGAACAGTATTCCTTTAATCATCACTTGTAACACTACTACTAGTTTAGTATACTGTAGTATCTGAACATATTACAAACCCTAAGAAGTAACATGACCAATGATTTAACTGATGTTTTCATAGTTTCATAGTTGGTAGGGTTGGAAGGGACCTGAGTAGATCATCAAGTCCGACCCCCTGCCATGGGCAGGAAAGAATGCTGGAATCAAACGACCCAGGCTAGGCGATTGTCTAGCCTCCTTTTGAAGACTCCCAGGGTAGGAGTGAGCACCACTTCCCTTGGAAGTTGGTTCCAGATCCTAGCTGCCCTGACTGTGAAGTAGTGCTTCCGGAGGTCCAGCCCGAACCTACTCTTAGTCAACTTATGGCCATTATTCCTTGTTACTCCCAGTATTGCTCAGGGGAACAGGGACTCTTCCATAACCTGCTGGTCCCCCTTGGCCAGTTTGTAGATGGCCACCAGATCCCCTCTCAGCCTTCTCTTGTGGAGGCTGAACAGGTTCAGGTCCTGTAGCCTCTCCTTGTAGGGCCTGCCCTGCTGCCCCCTGATCATATGAGTGGCCCTCCTCTGGACCCTCTCAATGCTGTCCACATCCCTCCTGAAGTGTGGCACCCAGAATTGGATGCAGTACTCCAACTGCAGCCTGACCAGTGCCGCATAGAGAGGGAAGATCACCTCCTTGGATCTGCTCATGATGCATTTCCACCACAGAGAAAAAGGCTATGGTACAGCTATAATCAGCAAAATGTCCAGCCTCATTTTTTTTATTACTCAATACACAAAGTAACCTGTATACCTACCCCAAACCACATGTCAAGCATATACCAGTCTATGAACAAACCCTACCAGGCTGTAACCTAGTACATGTAATAAGCCTTAATGAAAGTTATCCATGTCATGTTTGGTCTTTCAGTTATATCTTCAAGTATGCTGGTTAGTCTCACCTCTATGCTTGGGAAAATCCTTGAAAAAATTATCTAGGATCACATTTGTAGGATCCAGCAGGTAATATTATGCTACAGGGCAACCAGCACAGGTTCATAGCAGGCCGATCCTACCTGACTAACCTTGTTTCTTTCTATGACCAGGTCACTAAGAGCTTAGATACGAGAGGAATCAAGGTAGATGTCATCTACTTGAACTTTAAGAAGGCTTTTGACACGGTATCCCATCCGATCCTTATAAACAAACTGAATGGCTGTGCCATAAATGACTACACAGTCGTGTGGGTGGCAAACCAGCTTAAGAGTTGTAGCCAGTGGTGGTGGATGGGTTGGTATCGACCTCGAAAGATGTGAGCAGTGGGGTCCCCCAAGGCTCAGTCCTTGGGCCAGTGCTGTTCATCAGCAACCTGGATGAGGGCGTGGAAAGCACTCTATCTAAAATTCACAGATGACACCAAACCATGGGGAAAAGCAAACACACTAATAGGAAGAAACCGAATCCAGGTAGACCTGGACAGGTTAGAGAAGTGGGCAGAGAACAACAGGATACAGTTCAACAAGGACAAGTGCAAGGTGCTGCACCTAGGAAAAGGGAATCACCCGCACACCTATAGGCTGGGAGATGACCCTCTCAACAGCACAGCAGAGGAGAGAGATCTCCAAGTCACTGCTGACTCCAGGATGAACATGAGTTGTCAATGTAATGAAGTAATTAGCAGAGCTAACCGTACTTTGTCATGCATTAGTAGGTGCGCATCACAAACCAGTCCAGGGAGGTGATGCTCCCTCTATGCGGCACTGGTCAGGCTGCAGCTGGAGTACTGTGTGCAATTCTGGGCACCACAATTCAAAAAAGGATGGAGACAACCTTGAGAGGGTCCAGAGGAGGGCCACTCGTATGATTAGAGGCCTGCAGGGAAGGCCTTATGAGGAAAGGCTGAGGGACCTGGACCTTTTCAGCCTCCGCAAGAGAAGGCTGAGGCAGGATCTTGTGGCAGCATACAAATTCATTGAGGAGGGCAGGGGAGGGAAGGGCAGCAGGGAATAGGAAATGTTCAGACCACCCCTTGGAATAACCAGAAACAATGGCCACAAGTTGATAACGGGTAGATTTAGGTTGGACATCAGAAAGAACTTCATGGTTAGGGTCGCCAGAATCTGGAATGGGCTTCCAAAGGAGGTGGTGCTCTCCCCTACCTTGGGGGTCTTCAAGAGGAGGCAGACATGCACGTGGCTGGGGTCACATGATCCTAGCACTTTTTCCTGCCATTGGCAGGGGGTTGGACTTGATGATCCTTTGAGGTCCCTTCCAACCCTAGCATCTATGTATCTATGCAAAATCCCTTAAACACAACAAAGCATATTTAAGGCATTTAGGTCTTTGGAATATTACCTTTGTGATACCTGCGTGATCAGTATTATCCAGTGCCTCATTCTGACGATGAGGCACTGAGACACCAGGGAAGTTTGTGGAAAAATAGGTAACTGAACCCTTGACCATGAACAGATGAAACATTTATACCACTTAAAAACGATAAAACACTTTTAGTGTATTTGAATCCATTACAAGTTCTTCTCAATCCATTACATCTTTCCTCTCCTATCTTGTGGAAAGTAAAAGTTAAAATGAAACACCAGGCAATTTGCCCCAATACTGAAGTTGCCACAACTGTTTTTCATTTAAACACATTTGTACACATAACACTAGCTGTTAAAATCTGGTTGCTACTTGGCACCAATGGAAAGATGAACTATAGAAAATGGCTTGGGGGGGGGGGGGGGGGGG